GGAATCCTGGAGACTTGGATGCTATTATTTTAAAGATGAGGAAACTGAGGCCCAGAGATGAGAGAATCAGCTCAGGGGCCACCTTCTCCAAGTCTCCTCTTTATCCTCCCAATTGTTAGTTAGGAAGTTACTTGTTCATGGCCATTCAAGTAGGAAGTGGAAAAACTGAGATTAGAACTCAGGTCCTCTGCCTTCAAATCTAGAGCCCTTTTCCAAGAATTATCATGAGGAAGGCACTTTGCATCTTAAAATGCAATAGAAATATGACCTGTTATTATCACTAGAGGATATTTCTTTTCAAGTATGAGAGATAAATGCTATCCCTCTGCCTTCTCTCACCACTTTCCAATTTGGAATCAGTTCATTGGGTTCCAGCTCCAGGTCTTTGGTCACTTTCCCTGTCTTCCCAACCTTAGATGATTGAGTGATTTGTTTAAAAGGCTCAGAGACTTGTATGGACTCTCCTTTCTTCACATTTCTCTCCCTTCTCCCCCATTTTAATTTCCTGAGAGTGATGAGGTAGAAAGAAACATTGATTTGGGCCAAGGCCTTGATTCTATTCCCTGATCTGTTACTTAGTAGGAGTTGGACCTGTGGCAGGTAACTTTACCCACCCCTCTGAGCCTCAGTTTCCTTATTTGTAAAATGAGCATAAGACTTTTTGGTATTGTCAGTCAACTATCATTTATTAAGCGTGTACTGTATGATGGGCACTGGTAAGAACCTAGCATTTATATGGTATTTTAAGGTTTGCTTAGGGTCATGTGGGTGCTGAGTATCAGAGTTGAGATTTATATCCAGATCTCCTGATCCCAAGGGCCCTAACAGACAGTTTCCACAAATTGCTGTGGCCAAAAGCTATATCCCTTGGTGGCCAGCTTTCAGTGTCTGAGCTGTTCCATATGTTGGATGGTCCCTGGACCACAGACAAAAGGTTAAGGAAGACCTGTGGTCAAAGGTTTTCCTAGCTTGGTAGTGCTTGCCAGAACTGGTGCTTCCCTGACCTGGGCTCTGGGAAATCCAGGGTCTCCTCCAAGACATAACAGCTACTATCTGCCTACTGCGTGCTAAGCTCTTTACAAATATCATCTTATTTGATCTTCCTAAGAACACTGTGAAGTAGATGCTATTATTGTCCCCATTTTACAGTTTAAGAAACTGAAGAGGCTAAATGACTTGCCCAGGGTCACACAATAGTAAATGCCTGAGGCTAGATTTAAACTCAAGTCTTCCTGACTTCAGGTCCAGTGCTTTACCCACTGTGCCACCTACCTGTCTAATGTGTTTCACAAAATACTTTCAGAGTAAGACTTTTTTTTTGAGGCAAACAGATTAATTGACTTGCCCAGGGTCACACAGCTAATAAGTGTCTGAGGTGGGATTTGAAATCAAGTCCTCCTGATTTCAGGGCTGATGCTCTATGCACTGTGCCATTTGTTGGTCTAGCATCTACATCCAGAATAAGAAAGCTATAGGCCATCACTACAGCAGAGCCTCCCGGAAATGGATCATTCCTTGGCTTGGTTTTCTAGAAAGTCTATGCTTTTCATTTTAAATCTCCCATTGATGGACTCAAGAAAGAACTGCTGCTGTTGAGTGGTTTCAGTTGTGTCTGACTCTTCCTGACCCCATTTGGAGTTTTCTTGGAAAAGATACTGGAGTGGTTTGCCATTTTCTTCTCCGGCTCATTTTACATATGGGGAAATTAAGGCAAACAGGGTTAAGTGACTTGCCCAGGGTCACACAGCTAGGAAGTATCTGAGGCCAGATTTGAACTCATAAATATGAGTCTGGTACTTCTAAGCCTGGTACTCTATCCACTGCGCCACCTAGCAGCCCTAGGAAGGCATGCAGAATGAGGGAGGGGAGAGTTCCAGTGCCCTTTGCTCTGCTCAGATCACATTTGTAGTATTGTGGTCAGTGTTTTTGGAAGGGCAATCACAAACCAGAGAGTCAGAAGAAGGTCACCGAGGACAATTGAGGATGGAGAAGAAAAGATTTGGGGATCAAGAGTCATGATCGTTGTCTGTGTTTAAAGGGCTGTCATGGGGAAAAGGAATTAGCTTTCTCCTGCTTGGCCATGAGCAAATTTAGAGTCCAGGTCACAAAAACTTCCCAAAATTTCGGGTTACCCCAAAATAGAACAGGCAGCCTCATAAGGTGGTGAGTTCCCCATCACTTAAACAAAGCCTGAATGGCTACTTGGTAACATTGTGAAGGAGATTCCTGACCCAATATGGGCTGGACAAGAAGGTCTCTGGGTCCCCTCCAACTCTTGAGATTCTGTGGTTCTGTGAAAATGATCCAGCATGAAAATGACCAATCTGCTCCGAGACTGGATATAAGGAGATTGAATGAAGGCTTCCTTCTTTGACAGAAGCTGAGTCTTAGAAAGGGGAAAGGCAGAGAGAGTTCTTTCCAGAGGTGATGACAATGTGTTTCTTAAACAGTTACTGAGAGATTTCCAACAGCTCCATAAAAAGTATGGAAAGACAGGCAGATGTTCAACTCAGGCACTGGCATGATGTTTAGAGGCTGGCTTATGGGCATCCAGGGTCCGGGTTCACTCTAGGCCCTTGACCCATCTAGCCTCACTTCAGGAAGTTAGGGCACAGGGAGGCTGACATTGCTCTCATTGCCGCAGGATCAGCTGATGTGGGGAGTGATGAATTACACTGGCATTTGGACTAGTTTTTTTAGGGGTGCCAAGGAGTAGGAATGTTGCAGGTGTACAAAAGATTTGATGGAAGAAGAGACTGGCTGTTATTGGGAAGGTATAGCAAGTGTACAATGGAGTCCTATTTGGTGTGCAGAGAACATTTGGTAAGAATCGGAAGAATGAATGCCTAGCATACAGTAAGCTTAAGAAATGCTTACTTATTCTTTTATCTAATAGAACTTGGTAGCACAGAAAGCTATAGTCAGTCAGTAAGTCCCCAATAATTTATTAAGCACTTACTACATGCCATGCACACAGGGTGACTAGCTGGTGAAGGGAATAGAACATTGGGCCTGGATCAGGAAAACGAGTTCAAATCTGGCCTAAAATACTAGCTGTGTGATCCTGGGCAAGTCACTTAACCCTGTTTGCCTCAGTTTCCTCATCTGTAAAATAAGCTAGAGAGAAATAGCAAACCGTTCCAGTATCTTTGCCAAGAAAACCCCAGGTGGGTCAGCAAGAGATGGACAAAACTGAATGACTTAACAACAACAATAAATAATAGTGGGGATAGTCAGATAGGCAGTAGAATCAAGATTGCATGTAAGGAGGTTGGACTTGGCAAGGAGAAGCCCACCCCCCCAACTGATATGAGTGATAACCAAAAGATAGTTGGGGAAGATGTATGAATGATGTAAAATGAGGCAGAGGGGAGAAGAGGAAAGAGTTTTAGGGAGCTGTGGCCCCCATGGTGTTGGCATTGTAATCATAATGATAACCATTAATAATCAATAATAATTTATATAGTATTTTAAGGTTTGCAAAATACCATAGCCATGTTCTCGTTTGATGTTCAAATAGCTCTATTCTTCTTCTTTCACAGGTAAGGAAATTGAGCTGCCATTAAGAGACTTGACCAGGATAAAATTCCCCAAACAGCTAGTTAAATGTCTGTGTCAGGAAATTCAGGTGTTCTAGATTTTATGTCCAGTGCTATGGAAATTTGAGGTCTAGATGGAAGCTTAAAGCATAAAATGTTTGCTGGGAGCAAACCTCCACATAAAGTATTGGTGCTCTTTGGGACCTGAGAGAAAATTTAGTCCAGCCCTTTCATTTTACAGATGAAAAAACTGAGGCCCAGAGACAGTAAATGACTTGTATGAACTGTATAGCTTCACTTAATTTAGTAGCCCTTGAAGGCATCACTGCATTACAGCAGGGTACAATTGCTGTTGTGCGTGATGACCTTGAGTTTTCAAGAAAAGGGTAGGTTACATATACCATCCATTGCCTCTCCACTGAAGTCCATCTCTTATGCTTCTTTGTGACATGAAGATAGTCCTGGCTTGGAAAGGCTATCTCCCCCCCTACATTGTGCTATATGGGCATGCTCATGTTTATTGGTACAAGGTATGTGTAAAAATGCCACGTCATGTTCTGTGTGTTGGTTATACATAGCAAGTGTCAGTTTGGGGAAGAGATGATGATGAAGCTGTGATACTAGAGCTTGCCTCTCTGATGTGTCTGTCTCATCCTTGTTGGTGATGTTCAGTCATTTCAAACTCTTCATGATCCCATTTGGGGTTTTCTTGGCAAAGATACTGGAGTGGTGTGCCATTTCCTTCTCCACATCATTTCACAGATGAGGAAACTGAAGCAAACAGGGTTAAGTGGCTTGTACAGGGTCACACAGCTAGGACGTGTCTGAGGCTGGCTTTGAACTCAGGTCCTCCTGACTCCAGGGCCAGTACTCTATCCATTGGGCCACCCAGTCACCCTTTATCCCATCCTTTGAGTAATCTAATAGATATAAGATCATAGATCAAGAACTCAAGGGGACCTAAGAGGCCATCTAGTCTAACTCCTTCATTTCCATTGTGGCCTGGAGAGGCTAAGTGACTTGCAGAAAGTAGTCAGGGTAAGAGGCAGAATCAGAACCCAGGTCTCCCCTTTCGTACCATCCCATAGCAATTGCAGTCATTGACATGCATCCCTTGGGCAACTAACGTACCTAAGGTGGGCTCCCTCTGATCGGCAATTCACTTGGCTCCATCGTTGCCCATTCCCTCACTCCTTGGGAAGGTCAGAGCCCTGCTACTAAGAGTCAGACTAGATTAGAGGTAGCTGGATGGGGGTGGGGGAGTTTGACAAGGACACTGTCTTAAAGAACCTGACTCCACTCAGGGCTGGGAGATGGACAGCCTTAGGGAACAAGGTGCGGATGGGAGCGAGGTGGCGAGGGAGGATGGTACAGAGGTAGAGAAACCAGGTTGCCTCTATTTGGAATCTCCTTTCTGGGCACTGGTCCCCTGTAGAGCGCAGTATAACATTGGTCTGGACGAAGTGTGAAATAGTTCTTTATTGTGTAATTAAAGACAGCTCTACAGTAAACTCTGGATACACATCTTCCTGGTGGTAAAAGCCAGAATGACCTGAAAGTTGAGTAAGGACTATTCTTTTAAAAATGTATGGTCCCCTGAAATCCCTGGACCCAGTATTGCTGGAACAGGGCTGAAGATCATAACCTGTCTCAGGGACCACATAATCACTGTAGTCTCAAAAAAAAAATGATACCGGGTTTCAGATGAGATTAAAAAAAAAAGTCATCCCAGCAAGTCATTTACAGCATATAACCAGCTGCAAAATCATCCTGTGTGAACAATAAAACACTTTGTACTGCTTACAGATTCTAATTTTCAGAAACATTCAGGTGAAGGCTTGCTGGGTTAAAATGTTATTTGCTAAATCGAGGCATTTGAATCAGCTGCTGTTTTTGCTGTTTCCTTTCCTTACAAGTTTCAACAAGGTAAGAAAAGCCCAGCTGTGCACTCGATTACTAAGTTATGTCTACAAGTGCTACATCGTTAGTTATTTATTCAGAACAAAGAAAGAATATACCATTGCTCAATTCAGAGCCCAGCCCAAGAAAGAAAACATGTCCAGCTCCGTCTCTGTAGCCAGCTGCAAAAGCTGATGTGTCCTGAAAGTTTTTTTGGTTGGTTACTCACGCTTGCTACAGTGTGGAAGGAGGACAGGTTTCTTAGGAGACTCAAAGCCCTGCAGTGCATGTAGAAATCTATACAGTACGACAGAGAGAGAAGATAGATACATTTCCCCCTATAAAACAGTATAACCACCAAAGTGAACAGATAGCTGTTTGTAAACAATCCCTAGTATCCACAGAATGAGTTAGAGCATCAAGGCGGAAACAGAGCTAAAGAGCCTTTGAAAAGCAGTGAATAGCACTGGGAGAAACTCTAAATTTACGCAGAGTAAAATATAAAATCTTCATTTTTTTCTCCCCCTTCCTGGCCCCCAGCTCCTTAAAAAGTGATTGAATAAAAGTCATAGCCCTTCACTGGAGTTGGAAAGTTTAATGGGGTTAGGGGGAGTAGTTGGGGGGAAGCAAGAAACAAGATGAAAATCCTGGTATTTTAAAAAATGGGCCACAGGGACCTAAGATTAGGGGATTGAGAGTTGGCAGGGACCATGGAGGTCGTCTAGCCCAACCCCCTTATTGTACAGATGAGGAAACTGAACGTTTCCAAAAGGTTGTGACTTGTCCAAGGTCACACACGTAGTAGATAGAAGAACAGGGATTCAGCTTCAGGTCTTCTGACTCCAGCTCCCATGTTCTTTGGAAAACACCACTCTACCTTTAGAGTAAAAGCCCCAGATTTGGGGAGAAGCAGAAGGAGGGTTAGGAGATGGGGCTGATGATTGGACGGGTAAAACGGAACTTCTGGGTTCTTTCATGTTGCCTTTTTCAGGACCAGCTCTGGAATAATGGCTCCGGGCTGCAGAAGGGCCAATGTGGGTGGTTGTCCAATACCCAAAGCTCCCTCCAGTGGAGGGAAGTGTTGGAGGTTTCCAACGCAACTCCATTTTGTCCCCACATCCATGTTCAGAAAAGTCTGTGGCTCTGATAGAATCAACTGGCGCCTCCTTCCCCTCCTGAGACAGATCTCCATCCTTAGCCTCTGTCTGTCCTCTGGCTATTTGGATCCCAGCCAGAATGTTCTCATGCTGCTCAGAGGAAAGGTTTCTCATCTTATGGGATTGTAAGGGGTTCCTATGGCTGAAGAATTCTGGGGCTGATCCTCCACTGAGTTTCCATCCTTCTTTTCGGGGCTATGTCTTTCTCTCATCCTTTCTGGGAGATTTAAAGCCAAAGTTGTCTGGCCTGTCATCATGTGTTAACTAAATGTGCTTGGGTTGGGGCTGAGGGGGAAGATTGAAGCACATCAACTTCTCTGGGAAAATTTGCAGCCATAGACCCACTGAAGTTAGGCTTGTGTATGCAGCCCAATCCATCTCTTAGCCAAGAGACTCTTTTCTCCCTGATTGAAGCGTTAGTTGGTAAGTTTCTCTAGACTACAGCTCCATAAGGACATAGACCATATCTTACATAAACTTTATTATGTCCCCTGATTCCCAGCATAGGGGTCTGCATACAATAGATGTCTGCTTAATTGAACTGACAGGGAGACCACTCATCAAATATTGAGAAGTGATTGGGCCCAGGACACACCACCAGGCCAAGACAACTCTCACTCTCTTGTCAGGGCATTGTCCATTGGACCCATTAGTCCAAACCTGTGGAGAGGCTGTCTGACAGAGGCTACGAATGCCAGAAAATCAAGGCCATGGAGTTTAGTTCTGTGAGGAGCTGCCTCCCTTTAAATAAGCTTGGGCTTTGCCAACATTGGGACTCCATAAGTTCTTCCTGGCCACCATTTCCCTGCTGGGGGCATTCTCACAAGGTAGGCCTTCTGGGAATGACTTGATAGCATGGCTTACTTGGGTTCTTCTGGTCCAGACCAGTCAACCTTAGATCTGTGTGGGTGGTCTGAGAAGGATAAGTTCCAATCCAGGTTCTAGCCATTGGTTTGGAGGGACTGAGGGTGTCTACCGTTGGGCTCCTGCTCAGGTTGAATATTGTGGGTGATGGAGATCACTCTACTGCCTCTTCAAATTCATTTTAAAAGCTCATTTGGAAGGGAGAATTCTTTTTCCATTGATAGCATGAACCGCCGTTGACAACACCTGTCTATTTCCCCTGACCTCTGGCCCATGCTAGCACTCTCAGACTGACCAGCTTGCGTCTCTCTGAGGAGAGGACAGGGATGGGGGCAGAGAGTGAAGGGGGAATGGAGGTACAGCAGAGGTGACCTAGGGGCTGCCTGAACTGAGGCTGTAGCAGTTTAGGGAAGAATTTCCAATGCAGAAATCAGACTCTGACCACCTGGGTTACACCAACTTTGAGAACCTGCTGGGAAAGTGTGGGAAGAGGAAGGGGCTGGAAGAAAAGAGAGCTACTGCCCTGCATGTCCCAGGTCCTGAAAGGGACAGGGAACAAACACAAGGGAGTTTTGTATGTTGGGCTGGTAGTGAGAGGTTCATTCTATTATTGAATGACACTGCCCCCAACCTCGTGGGTTTTGTGTTCTTGTTGCTGTTTTCTCTGCATGTGTGTACGTGTATTTGCAGCTAGTCAGGCCCTTCCCTCTGGAGTGGGGCTAGCAAAGGCCAACCCTGGTTACACAGTCCTATCGAGAAGGGTCTGGTACTCAGCTGGGGAGCTTTTCAGACTCTGAAGAGGAAGGAGCACATTAGGGTCATGCACTACAGTTTCATAGGGTGGCACAGTTTCTAGGGCAATAGTGGAGATGGCTGCCTGTCCTTGGGGAAATCTGATGGAATAGCCAGCATCCCCCTCGGCCACAGGCAAAGAAGCCCCGTCTTCATCCTCATCCCTCTCCTCTGCCGCACTGATCTGGATGGAGACATCCCTGTCCCGGCAAGGGTCATTCAGTGAGTATGGTGGAGGGTCTTCAGTGGGGATGTAGATTTGAGTTGACCCTGGTCCCACACACTCCTCATAGCTGAAAAAAGAGAGAGAGAGAGAGACTTCTAAGACCTAGGTCTTGGATAAGGGTCCCTCCACTTCCCAAAATATTGTTTTCTATGTTTTCCCACTTAAAGCTCAAAGGTACTTTCCAGTTCTGATGTTGTATATGCTGACATTCTATACCCTTAAATCTTTTCCAGTCAACATTCTGTGTTTTAGCATAATAATCATAATATCAAACATTTATATAGTGCCTACTATGTGTCAGACACTGTGCTAAGTGCTTTACAAATATTTTTTCATTTGATCCTCACAACAACCTTGGAGGGTAGGTTCTATTATTATGCCTATTTTACAGATGAGGAAAGGCAGTTAGGAGGCACAGTGGAGCCACCTCCACTGGAGTCAGGACTTGAGTTCAAGTATAGCCTCAAACACTTACAAGTGGTGTGCCCCTCATCTGTAAAATGAGTTGGAGAAAGAAATGACAAACCACTCCAGTATCTTTGCCAAGAAAACTCCAAATGAGGTCAGGAAGAGATGGACATGACTGAAATAACCAAACAACAAAAACAGATGAAGAAACTGGGGCAAATAGGGGTTAAGTGACTTGTTCAGGGTCACACAGCTATTAAGTGTCTGAAGCTGGATTTGAACTCAGGTCTTTCTGTCCTATCCTGTCCTTCCTATTCACTGTATAATCTTACATCGCTAACATTTTGTGTCCTAAAATTCCTTCCAGGCCCGATGTTCCATGTTCAAGCATTCTATGGAACTATACTATAATTCTAAGACACCTTTTCAGCTCTGATATTGTCTGCATGTCCTACGAGCATAGCCCTGTCCTTGACCAGTCTGAGATACAAGAGGGGATGAAATTGTCCATGCCTGGAAGAACTTACAGTCTACATGAGGGGAACAAGACACACACACACACACACACACACACACACACACACACACATACACACACACATTGAATAACTAGGGAATACCATTCACACTGAATGAATAACTCAATATAGGGTACAAATTGCAAGTGCTTTTGGAGCTAAGAAGGGAGGGAGAAGCACGACTTGGAAGGAATCATCAGGGAAGTCATGGAGGAGGAGGAAGAGAAAGGAGACAATGACAACAACAATGATGTTGATGAAATTGACCTTGAAAGATGGCAAAAGGAAGGGTCAAGGGAACTTCAGGTCAGGGTGGTATGACATAAAGTTGCAATAAATCAGGTACAGGATGAATAGACTCAGAGTATTAGAAATAGAAGGGGCCTTTGAACAGAAAATGCTATCATAGAATGTTAGTGGTGAAGAGGACCTTCGATAATGGAATGTTAGAACTGGGTGAATCCTTAAGACGGAATGATTGAGCTGGATGAGACCTTAGAACATACAGTGATAATGACACAGCCTATTTGTGCTCAAGGGGAGCTTAGAACATGGGCTCTTGGTGGAGGACCTTGGACAGTGACTTGAGAACTAGAGTAGAGCGTAGGGCCCTAGAGGCCAACCCTCAGTTTACCTTTTCAATCTTACTACACCTCATTCCCCTTCACACACTTTATGTTTCTGTCAAACTGGTTTTCTTTCTGTTCCTCACAGAGGATGCTCCATTTTCTGTCTCTGGATCTTTGGACTGGCTATTCCCCATGGCTGGAATGCACAACCATCTCAATTCCACCTCATAGAAGGTCTGGTCTCCTTTAAGGCATAGTTTAAATTAGACCTGAGTGCAAATCCCACCTCAGACATCTACTAGCTGTATTACCCTGGCAAGTTGCTTTGCCTCTATCTGCCTCAATTTCCTCATCTGTAAAATGGGGATAATAATAGCACCTACCTGCTAGATTTGTTGTTAAGATCAAGTGAGATAATATTTATTAGACAAGTTTGCAAACTTTAAAGTGCTATATAGATGCTATTATTATTATTATTACTATTATATGAAGCCTCTCCTGGTCTTCCCAGCTGCAAATGCCTTCCCCATAAAATTGCCTTGTGTCTATTTTATATGCAAATATATATTATATTATATTATATATAAATATAAGATATGCATGTTTCTATACATAAATGTTATGTCTCTTGTTAGAATATAAACTCTCTGAGGACAGGGACTATTTCATTTTTGTTTTTGTATCCCTAGCACCCTATAGCCATATACATGGCATATAGTAGGGACTTAATAAATGCTTGTTAGTTGACTGACTGATTGAAGTGATTTGCTCAGTCCCAAAACTTATTGTGGCATTATCGAGACTAGAACCTTGTGCTTTTGAAAAGCTGGTACAAATCTGCTGTAGAACTTATCCTGGTTGGGGTTGAGGGGCAGTTCTTGAGCCATTTTGGCCAGCTGTTTTCCTCTCCAGGATCACTGGCATTCCTCTCTTTATCCTTTGATTTTTTCCTTTTCTTTTTTTTTTTGGAGGCAATCAGGGTTAAGTGACTTGCTCAAGGTCACACAGCTAGTAAGTGTCTGAGGCTGCATTTGAACTCAGCTCCTCCTGACTCCAGGGCCAGCGCTCTATCCAATGTGCCACCTAGCTGCCCCCCAATTTAGCTTTTTTCATCTAATTTCTTACATATCGTCTCCTCCATTAGATTGTGAGCTCCTGGACAGCCGAGGCTATTTGTTTGCCTTTCTTTGTGTCCTCAGCTCTTAGTATGGCTTCTGGTGCCTAGCGGGTATTTCATGAACGCTTGTTAACTTGATTTGTTGGTTCGGTCTTTTGTGGAAGAGGTACTGTAGCAAGGCAGAGAGATTGCTGGATTTTGTGTCACGGAGACATAGGTTCTACTCCTGCCCCTGGGCAAATCACTTACCCTTACTGAACCTCAGTTTCCTTATTTGTAAAACAGAGATATTACTAGCACCTGCCTCCCAGGGTTTCTTACGAGGTTCACATGAAATAATGTGGGTAAAACATGACAGAAATGTCAGCTTCTATCATCAGCTAAGTGAGGAGAGGCTCATCTCCAGGTTGGCTGCAGGGCTATGATTTTCTGGGTCACAGCAGGGTTTTAAGGCTGCTACTAGGTTGCAGACATTTTGCTGTTGTTGTTCAGTCATTTCAGCTGTGCCTGGCTCTTAGCGATCCTATCAAGGGTTTTCTTGGCAAAGATGCTGGAGTGCTTTGCCATTTCTTTCTCCAGCTCATTTTATAGATGAAGAAACTGAGGCAAACAGGATTTTCTTGGCAAAGATACTGGAGTGGTTTGCCATTTCTTTCTCCAGCTCATTTTATAGATGAAGAAACTGAGGCAAACAGGGTGAAGTGACTTGCCCAGGGTCACACAGCTACTAAGTGTCTGAGGTCACATTTGAACTCAGGTCCTCCTGATTCCAGGCCTAGCATTCTACCCATTGTGTCTAGCTGCCCCAAAGAGGATTAATACTTATGAAATCATAGATTACTAGATCATTGTGCAAACAAACAGCAGACATTTATCAGGCACCTACTAGATGTTGGTACTATGCTAGGTGCCTGGGATACAAAGTATGGTTATTATCTAACTTGCATTAATATGGTCTTTGTGGTTATGAAGCCCATTGGAACCTCACAAAAACTCCAAAGTGGGCAGGACGCTCACTTTATATTGGGGAAGCTGAACCTTCAGAGAAGTCATGTGCTTTGACAAAGGTCATACACCCGGTAAGATGGGGAGGTTACACTCAAAGAATTTCAATGGTCCCTTTCAGGTCCAACAATATGTCACAAGGCTGGGACTCCGGTTTTTTTCCTTTACATCATATCAGATTTTCTGGATTTTAGTTGGGAGGACCTCAGTTCAAATATCCAGTTTGTCAGTCATTAGCTGTGTGACCTTGGGCAAGTCACTTTCCTTTCCTCAGTCTTAGTTTCCTCATCTGTCAAAAGAAGGGATTGGACTAGACCAGCTTTACGGTCTCTTCTACTTCAGATTCTAGGATATGGGGATCATTCAATCCCTCTTATTCACACATGGCAGACCTCTTTTTGAAGCAAAGTGTTTTGGAAGTGGTAGTAAAGACAGGGTTAACATCTCCATCTGAGGTGTTCCCTTTGCACCAGGAAAAAAAATGGTGACTGTGGGAATAGTGAGTGGGGGTACCAGGGAAAATAAATCCAGATGTGGCTTTATTATTTTCAGTGGGACTGAATATAAGTTGGGTTTGTTGCCATGGAAACCTAGGAGAGTTTAACTAACTAGCTGTCATTCATGAAGAATGACCTTGGAAGGAGGGGGAGGCTTTTGGGGAGGGGAGGCTGAAAGTTGGGGGAACTTCTGGCCTTCAGGATCTAGGTGCAAAGCTGAAAAAACAATATGTATCTTTGATAGAAATGTTATTTTTGGCTTCATAAATCATTCAAGAGCCAGATTGCCAGAGAGACGCAGAAAAAAGCACAAACATGAGAAGACCTGGGTTTGGGTCCTGGATCTGACATTTGCCTAGTTGCTTAGCTCTTGGTAAATCCCGCAGCCTCTCTGGCCTTTGATTTCCTCCTTGGTAACATGAAGGGGCTTGATGAGATTATCTCTTAAGGTCCCTTTAGGAACGACCTTGTCTGTGTTTTATCCTTACTTATCTGTGTATATGTTGTTTCCCCCCAGTAGAATGTAAGCAGCGACGGTTCCTATTTCATCTCTGCATCTCCAGTGTCTACAGGAGTTTCTTGCATACAGCAGGTGCTCAATAGCTAGCATTTATAGAGCACTTGAATGTTCTCTCATTTGAACAATCCTGGAAGGTGGGGTGTGTGTGTGTGGGGCACGATTATTATTCCCATTTCAAAGATGAAGAAACTAAGGCGATGGAGTGTAAGTAGCCAGTAAAAGTCTGAGGCAGGATTGAAACTCAGCTCTTCCTGACTCCAAGTCCAGAACTCTAACTACTGCACCACCCGGCTGTCTAATACATTCTTGTTAAATTGAGTTGAAGTCTAGGTTTCTATATACACCATCTGCATCTATCACATTTGTGCCCCAGAGGAGCCTGGGGAGCAAACAGTACTTCAAAAATTCTGCCAATTAAACCCAAGGAGAATTT